TCTACATGAAGGCTTGATTTAACCTTCCTGTGTTGAGAGCCTTAGGACGACTGTGTAGAGTAATATACTAGGGTTGGCCAAACTTCATGTCAGTAAGAGTCGCATGTTTGAATTCAGAAATGTTCGAAAGCCGCATCTATATTTTCTAAAAGCCACAAGTTCATATTTACATCATTGTACAAGTAGTGGAGGAGGTTTTAAATAGAAAGAAATCAGTGATAACTTTGTAAAAAGAGTCTAAACTAATTAATTACTTCCTTTTGGACACTGCATAGTTTTAGTTCACCATATTTCATACATATATTTTATATGCATGAGCCACACAAATTGCCTACGAGAGCCATATCAGATTCACGAACCGCACTTTAGCTACCCCTGATATATACATTTATAAATTATATCATCAGCTCTAAAAAAATAAAAATAACCAAACAAATGTGAAATTTCTCTTAATTTTGAGCACCGTTGTGGAGGTGAAACAAATCCTAAATTTTTCCAAACCTAAATTACTCAGACGTTTTCGAATTTCTGACATTTCTCGAAATCTTCATATATATAAGAAGAAAAAAAAATTTTAATGTTAAAAGTTTCTGATTAAAGCAAAATTTGAAATCTGCATTATGAACCTCAAATTTAAAAGTAAGTTTCCAAAAATACTCTTATATTTAAGAAATTAAAATGAGAAATAATAAATGAAGTCTTTATTTAATAGTTTTGAATCTTAAGATTCATTTTCTTAATATATTTTAACAAAATATATTTGAAAAACAGTTCAAATTTTTTATATTTTCCAAAATTTCTTTTAAAGCAAAGCAAGTATAGGGTCAGGGGAATTATATTAGAATTTTACGTAGATAAACACTAGACATGGAACATTAAATTCTCTTCCGAAAATTATGAGTTTGGCACATGAGGCCTAATGAGGTAACATTGTAAATCCGCGTCAAGTGAAACTGAAACAATCGCATTTGTTTTTTTGATAAGTGCTTCTATAGAACGCCAGTTAAACTTAATTTTTTCGAAATTTTGAGTCGAAATGTTTAAAGAGTTTTAGGATAGGATACAAACAATGAAAAAAGTGTGAAGATTCATTTTTCATAATCTCGAATCTTTGCATTTTAATGTCCCATCTCGATTTTATAAAACGTTTCTGTAACTCTTTCATTCTTTTTAGTTATGGAAAAAAAGAGAGAATGTGTCATCATTTCACATAACCAAGAGCAAAAGGTAATGCTTATGCCAATGTTTTCCCTTGATTTTCTTCATATCAAGGCCATTTTTTAGCTCTCTTGTTTTTCAGCTGAATTCTTATCGGAACGGAAATCAGTGACCGGAAATAATATTCTTTCGATGCACATGTTTTCACGATGCAGAGTGAACGATATGGGACACAAGCCAACAGTGATGAGTCATTTCGCAATTGAAATGTATATTTTTTTCGCATGAAGTTATTTATTTCAAGGTTTGTGAACTAAAATTTATTTAGCGCAACGTTTGTAAACTTTATTTTAAATTTAATCGTAATGGAATTTTATAATTTCATATTAGTGTATTGCAAAGGAATAACAAGCAATTCAGGAAAAGATAAGTTAGATTAGCATTAGTTTAAAGGAAAGCTCAAGACATTTTGAGGGAATATGCCCAAGATGCTTCCTTTCTCATTATAATGGTGTGCAACAGTTATTTTCGGTGAACAAGAACCTTCTGGAGCACCCGGCTGGCTGCAAAAGCTCTTCGTGGTCTTCCTTGTGGTTAATATGAATAACGTAGGACCTGTCAGAAACCATTTTATTATAGGCCGTGCAGCAACGCTTCATAAGGAATGTAAATGACGAGAGTGACAATTGATAAATAACATAAAGCTATTTTAATTTGTTTTTTCAGTTTTTTAATTTTTAATTTAATTTGTATTTATTTATTTATTGAAAATCGCACCTGGGAGATAGCCACTGTTCTTTGCGATGGCGATGTACTGACGGAATCGACGAACGAAACTTTCCATTATTTTTACCAGCATTTGAGGTGGAAGTGCCTTGACTTGCTGACCAGTGCAACGCTTCAGAATCTCTAAGTTGGGAACCAACGAAACTGTCCATTATTTTCACCAGCACCTGAAATGCTGTTGAAAGTAATGGACAGTTTCGTTCGTGCATCTCAAAGAACGGTGGCTATCACCTAGATGAAATAAATTGCGATAAATAAAAAATAAATAAAACATACAAGTAAAATGGCATTATGTTATTTATTCGTTACCATTCTCGTCCTTTACATTCCCTGTGCAGTCTTACTGTAAATAAAATGTCAGATTGTTTGTGCCAGATCCTGTTCTTTAGGCAGTTCCCTTTTCCTTTAGAATGCCCTTCGAAAAGGCATCCTTCCTCTTAGCAGATAACCCTCGTGTCCTTACTCATAATTGGTTAAGGGCGGGGAAGCAAGAGGAATCCAAGTCAACTGCATCTGTAGCGAAAAAAGTCATTTTTGCCAATTTAAAGATGAATTTTATCTAACTCTGAACTTGCGATCTTCAGTTCTATCTATCGAAAACGAATGCTGAATTAACCAAGATGCTAACTTTGTAAGAGGTGTTTTTTTTTTTTTTTTTTTTTTCCATACTTAATAGTTAATTAATGTTTCTGCCGATAGAGGCGTGATCCTTTTGCAGAGCATTTTTCCTAAACATCATGATATTCTGTTTATAATGGATAAAGTAATAAATCTACTTGGGGGTGGGAATTGGAATTAGTGGGGCGGTCTCAGTTGCTAGCAATTTCGTTTCTAAGGATTTATATTAATCACTTCCAGACAAAGATAATGATATCAAGATCTTTATTTAAATAGACAGTGCTCACGTGAAATCCACTATATTATATACATTATATGTATGAGTATATTTTCTCCTTTTGTATAATATGTGTTACTTAGTAACAGTTTTGTAATTGTTTCTAAATTTCTAAAGTTGTGATTTAACAGCCACATTTTCAGCTTTAAGGAAAGAGACTCTAGCGTGTGTTAAAGTTAGTTAAGTATGAAAAATAATCCAAAATAATCTACCATTTATAAGAGACATTAAAAAGCAGTATATTTGGGATTTATTTGATATTTTCGAAATCTCTTAAAATCCCTAAAATTCGCACGGCGATAAATTACTGTCCTAATAATAAATATTTTATCTTACAAATTTATTTTACAATATTAGTTTCATCCATTCAATCGTTTCAACATAAGTCAAAATTCAGAGTTAGTTTAATATTACTTTTAAATGTAAAAACTGCTGAATTTGAAATGACAGTCTGACGTAATTCGTTGAAGCAAGTCTCCTGCTTCCAGTGTTGTAACAAGTCATATTAACTTAAAAATTTTTAGTTATACAATTATCCACTCGGTTATAAATTAATGTTACAATTAGATTCGTATTTACTTTATATATAATTCCTGTTTTTTCAAAGAAATATTTTCAAAGAAATAATAATACATTTTCATGAAATTCTAGAAGCAGATTGTAAATATCGTATTTATGTGTAACATCTACGGTTATATTTGTTTACTTCATGGGAAATTTTAGAGTAAAAATATACTCTAATGTTCATTTGTTTTTCTTTAAAATGCTTATATAAAAATCGAACTTGTTTTTTAAGCACAGCCTTATCTGTATTTAAAAATGTGTGCAGTACTTCTTATACAATAAAAATATGCTGTGGGCTGCCCACTTTACGAGTTCGTAAATGAGAATTCTATTAAAAAAGCCATATACCCGTTGAGACCAACGTCATGCTTCGTAAAAACTGGAGTTCGTGTCATTTTATCACCTACCCCTTACATCTGCGTTAAAGGAAAACACGTTTGATTTTACTTTCAAAATGTGTTATGATCATAATGAGTTTCTTCTAGACTACTCTGACATGCAAAACTCATACATGTGAGGCAGTCTTACATGTAAGCCTTCCTTTTCTCTTTTTTTCCCCCCATAAAATATCTGCAAATATGCAGAGTTGTCTGATTATTCAGGCAAATATTGCATTTCTTTGACTGGGTTCGAAAAATCTCATACATTTGCTTTGCATTTCGTGTACTTAATTGAAGCAAATTACAGTTAATGAAATAGTTAGTGAAATAATTAATTACAGTTAATGAAATAGTTAGTGGAAAAGAATAAATAACGTTTGTTGTTGGCTTTCATAACATTGTTGTTAAAATTATGTAATTTTCATTTGCTGTGATGAAAATGTTGATTTTAAAATTTCGTAGAAAACATATGATGATCATCCTATTTCGCAATGCCTAAATTTTAGAAAGCATTAGCCGGAATATTAAAGCACTGTAGCCGTAGTTCATTGGTAACTTTCTAAAAGTACTGATAAATGTTGCATTAATTTTACAAACTATCTTACCTGAAAAAAATCAATGTTTCATATTTCGTGTATGAGTTTGTAAGAGATTCTAAATAGCTTCTGTTTCTTTTTATTTTCAGCTCCAGACCTCAATCACCTGCGATAAACCCTGGATATATCGTGAAATGAACATTTACGAAGTAATACGTGTATCAAATTTATTATCCAGAATAGACAAAACTGACTGATATAGTGTCTATAAATTTAAGAATTCACTTGCTCAATGTGAGAACTGTTTTAGATTTTAAGGTAATCAAAGTGTAACTTATTTTTGCATAGGAGCAAAACATTTTCTGTTAAATATTTATTTAAGGAAAAGAAGTTATACGAAAACATAAAGACGACTATAGAGATGAAGTGCATGGATCCTGATAACAGCGCTGTCTGGCAGTTGCTGCCAGGAAAGGACCATAAATTAGATATCGATGGCGACTCTCCTACTCCAACTGAGAATGGAGTCCTCAGTTCGAATGCAACGCTTTCCAAGTGTTCAACCGTCCCCCGCAACATGTGCCTTAATGGATATTCAAAGGAGACGGGCCATCATTTTTATCCCAAATTTCGCCACTCCAGGATGATTCATAGCCGACAGAGAAAAAGAGTGATTTTGAAAAACGGCGGTGTCAACATCTCAAGAGAAAATGTTTCCAAGAGAAGCCAGCGCTACTTACAAGACATATTTACAACTATGGTGGACATTCAGTGGAGATGGAACTTGCTGGTTTTCGCAATGGGTTTCTTCGTCAGCTGGATCGTATTTGCTATTGTCTGGTGGCTCATTGCCTTTGCCCATGGAGATCTGGAGCATGAGGATGACGAGGAATGGAACCCCTGCGTAAAAAATGTACACAGTTTCGTCACTGCCTTTTTGTTTTCTGTGGAAAGCCAGCACACCATTGGGTGAGTATTATTTAGTTCCCAGTACTTGATTTTCTGTATTGTGCTTTAAACTGTTCACCTTTTCTAAATTAAAAATAGATATATTTTCCCGAATTCCCCCCGATATAGCCCGAATTTTGAATTTCGAATTTTTGTTTTATTATCTATTTCATAAATTTGTAAAACTTGAACGAATATTTTATTTAAAAAAATTCAAGGATTTCGATGCGAGCATTAGCAACACTGTACGGAATAAAACATTTTTTATGTCCAGAGCGCGAGACTGTCTATCGAAAATTCTAAAGATAAATATATGTAGTGGTATATGAATATACTATAGTGGTTGTTACATCACGAAAACGTTAATTTTCTGTTTAAGAATAATTTTTATACGTTAGTTTAAAGAAAATTATTTACTGCTTTTTAAGATATCGATCTTTTCAAAACATTATTATTTTGATCATACTTTTTTACTGTTGCCATTCGCAGTCTACATAAAGTTGTAGAAACAGAGGTTATATATCGTTTGTAAAAGTTACACTACTCTCCTTCCAAGCAAACGTAGTTGCTTTATAAGGAGAAAAATAGTTTTTAATATCACCTGATACTTTCATTGCAATAAGATAGATCAATGCTTTTTGCAAAATATTTACAGTCATTAAATCAAAAATTAATATGCAACATTAAATGTTCCAATAATTATGATAACGTGCTGCAAAAATGATTCTTCTCCAGTATTGAATGTTTTAAATTTTGAATCCTCCTTCTTTCCATTTTCATGTCCGTCTAATGGGGTGTTTCTCTTTATTTGTTAGATTTCGAGAATGATCTTCACCTGAGGCTAACAAATAAGCTTGTTTTAATCGATTGACGGAAACATTGATGTCCTATCTCTTAATTCTCGCTTTATAATACTTGGTATTTCTGACAATTGCAAGAAAATGTCCTTCATAAGGGGATTCTAATGTTTTCTTGACATTCTGACAAATGTATGTGAATATGAATCTTTCTTTTACATTGGCTTTTAAGTGGTTTTTAATTTTTCATTTGTTTTTGCAGTTCGTTAGGAAAGTTTTCTGTGTCTAATTTGGTTTTTGGCTTTTGAAAGAATTTTGGTAGCTTCAGTGATTTACCATAAACCATTTCTACATTGGATCAGTTAATATCACATAGAAATGCGCGTATACCAAGGAGTACAGCTGCATTTTAATTCCACATATAATGCCTAACTTCTAAAACGTTCTGATCTAAATTGATTTCCTCTGTGTGCTATTACCTGCTTTGTAGGAGGTTTTGTAGGTGACCTTGCATGAAAATGTGGTTCTTCTCTGTTGTGCAGAAAGAAAATTATGCATTTACACACGCAGTTATTTCATACACCGTTCTAAGCAATATACTACATATTTGATTTACTTATAGTACATGTTCCATCATTGTTGAAAGATAAAAAGGAAGCAGCAAAAAGCTCTTGAGTAAAGGTTCTGTTATAAGGTATTTCTCCCACTTTCCTAGCGAGCCTTCGTGGTGCACACTGAGCCTTCAGGTTCTGCACACTGAGCCGGTATTTCAGAGGTCCGTGGTTCGATTCCCGGCGAAGGCGGTTGCATATTTTTCATCTCTCTGGCTTCCAAAAAAAATCCTAATGTCTCTACGGTGGCGCCCGAACTAAAAGGGTTGTGGATGATGATTCTCCGCACCCAGGATTTGGCGACTAGGTTCCCAAAAACCCTAGTCGCCCTCTAAAAAGGGGAGTATATAAGGTATTTCTCCCACTTTCCTAGCGAGCCTTCGTGGTGTAGTGGTTCTGCACGCTGAGCCGGTATTTCAGAGGTCCGTAGTTCGATTCCCGGCGAAGGCGGTTGCATATTTTTCATCTCTCTGGCTTCCAAAAAAAAATCCTAATGTCTCTCTCTACACTGTAACCTCAATAATTGAAGAAAGGAGAATTATAGTAAATTTTCACTTTACTCTTTCGTGCTTAAGAATTCAGAGATTAAAGCTACTATATATGAGTAAAAAATGCATGTAGTATGTTTTTTTCACAATTTCTCAAGTCCTTCTTGTTACAGTCTCTTGCTTTCTGTATTACACATATTCGATTTTATGATGATAAAGCTATTTTAGTAGTCTCTCTCATATTGCTCATAAGAATTAATAGATAATAAACTAAAAAATATGCTTACTAATTAAACTAGCGTCCAATGATGTAATTATTTGCGTTAATTATCTACAGCTGAATGCCGAATTGGACTTCTCTGCATAGATCAGTGCATGAAATAAACAAATTAGGCGACACACAATGCAGTGGGCTCATGTTGGATTTCAGGTGTGTAGGTTTATTTACAGTTATTCGCTTTCTGAGAGTGATCATGATACAGGGTGTATCAGTACAGCGTTGTCAAACTTTCAGAAGAGATAGGGTACACCTATACGATGGGAAATCAGATAGGAATGCACGGTTGGAAACGCATGCCTGGCGCGGTAGTGACGACACTAAAGTCAAGAAAGAAAGGACGCGAGCGGGGTGAGAAGATGTTTATTATTCAAGAACCAAAACAAAGAAAACAACCAAACAAAGTACCAAACAAAACAAAACAAAGAAAAAACAACATACTGGAGCATAGTCTGGTGGCTCATTGCCTTTGCCCATGGAGACAACGATCATCATCAAAGAATGTCTTCGAAATTACGACCCGGACCGTGATGCAGGAACCACGTATCATGCATCTTCCATTCGTGATGGGCCCACCAGCGGCCGAGCGGTAAAGTCGCTGAACACTGGCAGTTCGGTCCGAGGTTCGAATTCCGCGAACGGGCTGGCTGCATGGGTGTTTTCGTGGTTTTCCCCTTGTGTAACGTGTATACGAGCCAGTTTCCCTAGAAGTCCTCCCGAAGGCATCCCTTTCCTTAGGCAGATAGCCCTAGTGTGCTTTGCCATAATTAAATACACACAATACACATACCATTCGTGATGAAGATCTTCCATGCGGAGATGTGGAGGCCTGCATCACGGTCCGGGGTCGTAATTTCGAACACCCGATCGTTGTTTGTGTTTGTTCTTATTTGTAGGTTTCTGCTGTACTAAACATAACAAAACATGTTTTGTCTCTTTTCACTGTTTGTGTCCTTCCTTTTTTGCTTGTGTCTTCACTACCGTGCCAGGAAAGCGTTTCCGACCCTGCAGTGCTATGTGATTTACCCTCGGCTAGGTGTCAGTGGCGTAACTAGAACTCTTGGGCCCCTATGCAAAAAATTTTCCTGGGCCCCTTTCCCTATAAATTTAATGCGCTTTAAAAAAAATCAAGGATTCTAGGGGGCAATGTTTTCATGATGATTTTTATCACATGTGGATTAATTGTTAAAAAATAAAAAATAAATATTCTTAGGGAACCAGTTGAAAGGTACGTAACACGAAGAAAGAATAAAAAGGAAAATAATTTCCCTTGACCAACTGGTGAAATAAAAATTTGCTTTAGTCTGGGTATTTGACGTCAGATGATTTTAATTCAGTTACTTAAGACTTTTTGTGTGAGTGCGAGAGACAGATTTTTCTCTCACTGAGATGCATACTGATAGTAAATGGATAAGTCTATATAAAAAAAAAAAAAGGAAACATTTCGACGTATAGCATTAAGAAAAGGAAGAAAGCCTAGACTTGCGAGGAGTTTTTTATATAAAATCCAAGAAGTTTTATATACTAATGTTTTAAATTCTTATATAAAATCTGCACCTATCTAAGTTTTTTCGTTCAAGTTAGCAAACTTATAAATAATTATTATATTACAAACTGACAGATAAGATAATTGATAAACGTACAGAAAAGCTATTACAATAATGTATAGTACTCTGATTTACTCAGCTTACGAACATGATTTATGCAATAATATACAAGTAAAATAAGAACTTTTATAATGTAAATGATACATTTGTTAAATATAAAACATATTTATCATAAACTTCAAAAAGAAAGCTATTTGAAATACAATTTTTGTAAAAAATACGTATAGTAAAGTTTTTTGCCGTCTTTTTAAAAAACCTTTTGGAAAACTAAACTACATGAATACATGATTTTTATAAAAAATATGAATGCTAAAGTTTTTTACTGTTTCCTTTTAATTTTCCTCAGTCCGTACTGCTCTTCTTTAATTTTTTCCTCCCTCAATAAGTGTAATGATAACATTGGTGGCCAAAATTCATCATAAAGAAAAAAATCCTTCTTTCAAAATTTGCGTCTCCTAACCTTCATTTCCGCAAAATTATTTATCAATACTTGGACGTCCATTTTCTCAGCCATCTCAGCTTCAACGTTCAATAGTGAAAGGTTTGACAACTGATCTTGTGTCATACTGTTACTTAAATATGTTTTTATTATTTTCAGTATTGAAAATAACCTCTCACTCGTGGCTTTGGTTACAGGTAATCATAAATACAATATAAGTGAATTGCACACTCCCGAATAATTGCTTGACATGTCATAATAATTTACCATTGCTAATTTAGCTAAATCCTTAACGGATTTCAAATTTTGGATTTCTGTTCTGAAAGTATTTATAAATAATAAAAGTTGTACTTCCAGTGCAAGTCTTCTTTATATGTTTTCTGTACTTTTTGAGAACATTATTAATAATTTCCGTATTTGTTAACAAATGACAGTGTTTTAGGTTCTTTATTTCTTTTTTATTTTTCAAATTTCGTTTCTGTGCCCCATTTATTTGCAATAAACTCAGCTTCTTTTGATAATGTCTTCAAACTTGTTTCTCATATCTTGCATATTAATAGAAACGCTTTTAAGATGTTGGTGAGCTCCATTCAAGTCAATTGATTTTCGATTAGTCGAGCCGATTGATGGGTTGATCGATCCTGCACTATAGCGCAGGATGTGTTTAAAAAAATTTTGTTTTAATTTTGGCCTGTTATGATGTTTCTTAATGTATGGAAACATAGATTATATTTATATTTCATATTTATCATAAAAATATTTCATGTTAATATAACAATACGTTAGTTAATATTAGGAGACA